ATATTATACTAGAGGCTCAGTGCACGAAATTTGTGCACAAGTAGGGTCCCTAGCAGCTGCCAGTTGCCAGCTGGGGCCTCCCTTCCCCAGATGCCACCTGCTGGCTGGGGCCTTCCTTCATTCTGTATCATCCCCTGGTTATCAGCACATGTCATAATGAACATTCAAACTCCTGGTGGGCTGAACTCCTGAGGTGACACTTTGCATAGTAGGCTTTTATATATCTAGATTAAAAAAAAGTGGCCAATAAAAATCATGTTTTCAGTATTATGTTTCAGAAGTTTAATGGCATGGAAAATTTCTACAATAAAATGTTAAATAAAAAATTAGGATACCAAATTGTTTATGAAGTTTGAGCTCAACATATTTTTTTTTCTTTTAAAAGTCACTATTCTAGTAAAAGTGAAGAGAATGAGCCTGGTCAACTAATAGAGCAATTGGCTATTCTCCACAAAGAGATTAGGCCTAAACCTAATTCAGCTGCCATCTTCTAGTCATTTCTAGTGAGTGAGCTATTTATCAATTCAGGATCCCAAAAATCACAGAAAACACACACACACACACACACATACACACACACACACACACACACACACACACACCAATATAAATCAGTTTTAGAATCATGGGACACAAAAGAAAAAAAAACATATGCTCATATGAGAATATTTCAGGATAACAAGTCTAAAATTATTTTTCTCTATCAGTGTTTGGAATGCAAACAGCTACTCAATAGACATTTCCTGAAGCAAACTAAAATGTTCTTGGTTTTCCTATCCTAAACTCCATAAAACCAATCCTCTGTTTGCTTAGTTTGCTGGAAACAATGCCTACCCATTGGTGGTCAATGGGCCACACCCTCACTTTTGAAAAGCTTTGGAGAAAACAAAGCCCACAGTACATTACAGAGGGTATGGTTTACTTTGTTTTCCATCTAACTAATTTGCATTCACGTGGGATATTTTGTAACACACTGTGCAATATATACAAGGCACACTTGTTATATGTTACCCGGCTGAGAGTGTATAGTGCATTATGTTAGGTGTGCATTGATATACGTCTACATGCCTACGAAGCACCAGGGAAACAATTCTTCCATAAACAACAGTTGGGCACCTAACCTAGGGGGAAATGAATAATGGACATTGCCTTTTTCATCACAGTTTTTTAGTTTCAACCTGACTTACTCATGCAATATACAGGATGCAGCCTTGTATCTCTGGCATCACTTTGCTAAAGGATTAATTGCCCATTCCCAGTTTATGAAGCACTGGCTTGAGTCCTTTGATCTCTCTCACACCACATTTTGTTTCAGCCTTATCTGTGACATGCTCATTCCTTAGTTATGGCACTTAACAAAGTTTTCAGTAAGAAGGAAATTAGGGGTGTAGATTTAGCTATAGATCTGAAACATGGTGACATTCAGGTATTTCATGCTTTGTATATAATTGCTGAATAAATGATTAAGTGGATGAATTTTAGAGCAACATAATAATTGGTTTAATTCATTCACTGTAGGACTCAGTTGGGGAAATTTTGAGATGGATGCCAAATCAATTTATGCTCAGAAAAAGCATAAAGCTTCTTGCTCTTAATATACTGGGGAAAGCCTTGACATTGGTTTGAGCTGGTTAACCTGAAATTCAGAATATGCAGAAGCATGTTAAAGCTGGACCATGTATTTAGTCTCTTTTGGTGCCCAATTGGAATATTGTTTTTATTTTAGCCACCTTTCCTCTATAGAATGCACATTTTCATATAACTATGTTCCTCTCTTCAATGTCATGCTATGACCAGGTCACCCTCTGTAAAGGCAGAATCCTTTTACCTTCACCTGGGGCATATTTTATAAAGACAAGCCTTTGATGGCCAAAGAAATCTTGCCAGAGTATGCATACCTAACTATGGTGGATTTGGAAGGTAAATCTTGGGCTTTACTGCTGCATTAATCCTTGTGTTTACAAACAATAGAATGCCTTAATGAATTCCTAGACCCTGAGGATATCCTAGAATCTCCAGGCTCTCTTATTCACTGTAATATGTTACTTATATATTAATAAAATGGAAACAGAGGGAGATTATGACAAATCATGTTCCCCATCCTCTAATGAAATGTTTTTGCCTATATCGCACTGCACACTATCTCCAACAAGTATGCAAACACAGACAGATGCTTCCCCCATATCTTCCTCTCTTTGTTTTCCAAAAATTCAGGCAAATTGGAAAGGAAAGCTACTAACAAAGCCCTGCACATCATCTCAGGTAAATACAGATGTTTAAACTATTGACTTATTGGAGGAGAGGCTCTGTTTTCACCATGTAAGCCACTCTAGTACCAGTAGTGCTAGGAGAATAAGATCGGTTAGGTAAGTGAATTTGGTTCCATCTAGGTCTCCTGGATCTTTCCAAACATATCACATGTGCACCTGCTGCTTCCATTTATGTTTCCAAAAGGGAAATGCAATAATATCAAACATTTGCTCCTTTCTCATAAATCTGATGCCCTGACCTTATAAGGCTCAGGCCACTGATTTTTACTCATTAGAATTAAATACTATAAATATAGAAGTTTGCCTTTCAAAAATCTAGTAATTCATAATCTCTGCTTTAAAGAAGGCATGAATCCACAAATGAAATATTGTCATCATTAGATTGCAATCTATTAGAACATGAAGAGAGATGAATATATATATACATGTAATATATATACATATAGCATATTATCCCTTAAATTATACTTTGGCCTGATCCATACAACTCTAGAGTATAAATATATATTTTGTACCTAAATATTTTTAACATAAATACAGAGGATTGTAAATAAATCACAAAATCCAGATCAGTCATTGCTGTCATTGTGTCTAATGACATTTTTTCATAAACAAGGTTGTAGATTGATATTTTAAAAATATAAGTGGTGACCTTTACACAATTGCTTCTTCTTCATAATTATCTTATGAACAGAGATGACTAATTAGATACCAAAAATTTGAAAAAGATAAAGAGAGAAGGAGGAAGAAAAGGAAGGAGGAAAGGAGGAAATATAGAATACTTCTCTTGTGCATGCCAAGAGCTAGATTTGGACCATGGACCAGCCTTCCAAAAGCTTCAACGTCCTTTTTGCCATTCATTTTGACCTGAAAGTTTATTTTCTCACACCAGTGCTACCAATAAATTGCAGGTTGAAATGAATCCTCACATCATTTAATGCTGTGAGGCTGAGTTTTTGCATGTGGATTCTCTTGAATCCAGTGTGCAGTGTGTGATGTTATGGGGTGCCTGTGGCATTCCTAGGTGAATGCCAATTTGGCTTTAGTATGTAAGATTGCCAAGGAGCTAGCCGATTTTTGAGCTTGGACAGTCCTCTGTGATTGTTATCATCATTCTTATATCTGATTGCATTAAATGCTTAGCAGTGGAATTGTAACTGTTATATTATAATCTCACTTTTAAATGTTTTCTAAGAAGTTTCAAACCAATCTGTATGCAAAGCAGTGACATCTCAGTAATAAGCTCTTTATCTCTGAATGTTATCTTCACATTTTTAGCTGAATTGTGATCCATATCACAAACTACATATTGGATTTTTTAAATAGTATCTTTAAAAGGATGCCCAAATAATCCATTACTCAGATGTATCTCTGAAAAGAGAAAATGCCCCTTTCTTTCTCACCTCTCAGTGATATTATTGCATATAAGGCACTTTAAGCTTATAGCTGTTTGGTTTGATGCACTCATACCAGGATGTTAATGAACCCAAGGTCATGGAGGCCAGTTAGCTTTCTTTGCTCTGTACTGACCAGACTACTGGGAGTCAGTCAAGAGACACTGGCACAGATGAAACTGATACCATAGCAAATTTTCAGCACTTCTCACAGTCCATCCTTCTGGGACAGACAGGATGTCTTTCTTTCATATAATCTTGGGGCGGGAAGTGGGGGTAGCTTGGGAGGCCCCAACATTTACCTCTGAACAAAGCAGGACTGACATTTAGGCATTAACTTTGCATTATGATCCCCCATCATACCATTGATTTGCTGTGTAACCTTCATCAGTAAAGCAGAGATAATAGGATAAAATGAAATGGGCTTACCTCCCGGGGATGTTGTGTGCATTAGCAAATTAACGAGTGTAAAGTGTTAGCGTTTATGTAAGTGCTGGTGGTTGTCATTATTTGTAGGGACCTAGTCTCATTCTAAAGAGAGAATTTAAGTATATTATGCCTGTGTCAGAAGGATTTGCACCCACATCAATTGCATTTAAGCTGAGCATAAAACAGAGGTGATAATAACATAGTACTGATCATCTCAGTGCAGAGCTGTAAACCTTTTTCCTATTAAAGCTAAAACTATTTTCATCAACTTTCAATACTTTAAAACTTTGCTGTTCAAGCTTTGTGCTAACAATTATTTCGACAGTGATTATTTTTTCTGTGACGTTTGAGGGGAATGGTACCTATTTATTATTCATTCTCACTATGACTATATAATGTATTGAATTTGTTTACATCATACAATCAGGCAAGTATTCAGTAGCTGCAATCATTGTAAAAAATCAAAACTCTTTCCCTTTCCCGCTCTGCCAACGCTGCTGTCCTGTAGCGGTAGCCAGTACACAGAGTGAAAACTCTCGGGGAATTGAAGTGCTTTCCAACAAAAGGCCCTGTGCTTAGAGCCTTTCAATTTAATGTGTTGACCAAGAAATTCTATTGTCACTGGCCACTTCCAAGGGGACTGTGCTTGAGAAAATGCTTCCATTTCCTGTATCACTCTGACTTCACTTAACCAAGAAAAGTCACTTAGTGCTGATTGCAGAACTCTTCAACTCAGCCCTGCAGCTGCTGCTGAACTCCTCAGATCTGGGCTCCGTGTTACTTATTTACATATTCATTTGAAGTGGTTTTTCAGGACTATTTGAAACCCACTCTCAACCTGACATCCTGTAACAGCTGAGATCTGAAGCTCACCATGTTTTTGGTTCTTTTTCTTTTTGTCTTACAGATAACCGACGGGTACCTCTGGAAAGGTCACGCTCTCGCCACAATGGAGGTATCTCCACTAAGTGAGTCCTGATGCCAAAGAATAGAAAAATATTTCAGTGAATAAAATCGTACATTTTCAGAAGAGCAAAACATGCACTCAAGGGATGGAGAGGAATCAGTGCATTTCTGCAAAAATCAAGCCAAGCCTGATGAAACAGCCTGCATTTGTACAGCTAATGCAAGACTCCTCCCACAATTATGCTAATATGAACACAATTATTGGGATTCTAAAATGTGTGTTCCATTTTAGTGTAAAGATGTGTATTCTTTGTTATTGTATGTGACCTGACAGTGATGGTGAAAAGTGTAAGAAATTGAAGAGCTCTAAGGCTTTCAAATCATTCAATCTGTCAAAAATGTATAATGTTACTCAAATTTGCAGGTCACCCCCTCTCCCCCCAAAAAAAGGAAGAGAGAGAAAAAAAAGGGGGTAGAAAGAAAGAATGACTCAATATCTGCTTCTGATTCTTGTTACATAGAAAAGAAAAAGGCCAATGAAAAAGTATGTGTTAGTAATGTGGAGAGACATTTTGGAATCTCAGAAAAAATACTGCTTATCTCAAGTGAAAACTGATGGATTCATCTGCTTTGGCTGAAATTAATCTGATCATTAATTTAAAGTTTCAGCATGATAGTGCGGGCACTTTTCATTGCTAAAAATAAGCCAAAGTTCAACAGAAGCAAAGTGATTTAAATTTTCTTTAAAGAGGTGTTTTCTAATTATGCACATATCTACTTTATACAAATACTTTATATGGCTATTTTTGAGAAAAACTTCAAATTTTAATGTTTATGTGAGGGATGAACCCAAAAATTCTATTACCTTTATTTCGATTTTTAAAGGTAAATATTGATTCCTAATCTCCGTGGTTTATTTCTTCTCTCTACTCTTCTTTCTCCCAAGACCCCCTTGAAAGCAAGGAATAGAATTCTCAGAGACCTGAGAGGAAAAAGATCTCTGCAAGAGGCAGCAGAAAACTGAAAGGTCAATTGTTTTATCTGCCTTTCTACTCCCCTTTCTAATTCTGCCTCAGTGGTCTGAGGAAGAAAAACCAATTATATGTATGTATGTGTATATATGTGGATATATTTATATCTCCTACAGTAATTCCACATCCCAGTGACTAAGTGAACTTCAAAGTCATCATACTTACCTATATTAACAAATTTAAATGCTGCCATCATAAACAGCTCTAGGAGGAAATTAGGCTCTATGTTTTTCTTAAATCGATGAGAGAGTAACAATTATACTTAAATTGTCTATTATTTTAAAGTATGCATTGAAGTAATGTAATATAACTTCTCTGGAGTGCAATGTTAAGATGAATCCATGCAGATGATTATTGTAAAAGATTTCTCATGTGTATATATCTTACATAGAGAATCCTACTTCTCCTCCACAGCACACTGTAGACATTCAGAAAGAACAAAGGACTGACTTGGCAAGTCACCACATGGGTAAAGAAATCTAGAGACCAGTTTCCTTTCTGTAGATGTGTGATGACTCAAAGCGCTGCCTTTCCTTCCAGTGCATTCTTCTTACTCGGGTGTTATACTTTAAAAAGCTCTGAAGCTGCTATAATAGAGAAATCAACAAGCATTACAGTATCTGAGATGTTACAGTTTTATCTCATATTAGACACATAGGCACACACAAATTTAAAGAATATACTAATTTCACATAATTTTTAAAACAGCAACAAAGATATTGGTTCTACTAATTTATGTAAATATTTAATGGATGTATTTTTGACTTCAACAAATCATTTCTAAAATCTTCAATGTATGGCTTCTTTGAATCCTTTTTGAATAGCTTTTTAGGCCTAGGGAAATATTTTGAAAAATTAACCCTGACTAAAATGTAGGGGCATTTGTCATGCCATATTACCAAGCTGGTCAAGGTAGAAATACTGATGTATATCACCTTTTCCAGATGTGAACTTGCCTTATTTTATAGTTTGTGAAAGAGAAAATGAAGAACTATTATTGATAAAGTATATATTTGTATTTAGAGTAATCCCACATGCTTTTCACAAATATTATGAAGCCTTTTCAGGGTCTTTCATGAAGTTCCAATAATTGAGTTCAGGGAATTGCTTCCCGGATTTATAATGATCCTGCTATTTGCAGTCGGGGCTATTAATAGATAGAAATGTATCACCAAAAAAATACTTCATGACATTTTTAGTATGGAATCAGATTATACTGGAGCCTTTTGTTGGGTTTATTACTACCGCATGTGAGAAGCACCAGTTTATGAAGATTTTCTTCAGAATGTTTTTTAAAAATTACAAAGTCCTTAAAATGTTTACTAGTTGTATTAGTCTCTTTTGGCTGCTATTACTCATTATCACAAACTCAGTTGCTTATTAATCCATCAGAAATGTACTCTCTCAAGATTCTGCTGACTATATGTCTAAAACCAAGGGCCATGCCTCCTCCAAAGACTCTAAAGGAAAATCTTTCTTTGCCTCGCCCTGCTTCTGGTGGCTGCCGGCATTCCTTGGGTTTCAGCCACATTTCTGCTCCATTTTCCTGTCACCTTCTCCTCTGTATACCTAATCTTCCTCTGACTCTCTTAAGGACACATTTAGGTTGGCATTTAGGACCCACTGGGATAATCCAGGATAATTTCATCTGAAGACCCTAAACTTAATTACACTTGTAGGACCTTTTTTTCCAAATAAGGTAGCTTATTCACAGATTCTGGGGATTTTTTTCCAAATGAGGTAGCAAATTCACAGATTCTGGGGATTAGGTAATGAATATATCCTTTTTGGAGGCAACCCTTAGCCCATGATAGTCTGCCTTGTGCCCTCCTCCCCAAATTTAGTCTGCCCATGTGCATGAAATCTTCATTGCATCTCGACCTTTTCAACACTTTACAGCATCAAGTCTAAGTCTAAAATTTCATTCAAACATCATCAGTTCAGCAGTCCTAAATCTCATCATTTAGATTATCTAAATTAGGTATAGGCAAAATTCCTCTCCATCTATGGATCAAAACAATAAGAAAAATTATCTGCTTCCAAAATACAATGGTGGATCAGGCATCTGTTAATAGTTATGGGCATTCCTATTCCAAAAGAGAGAATATGGAAAATAGGAAGGAATCATCTGTCCCAATGATTTTCTAAATTTAACCAGAAAAATGCTCTTAGGTTTGAAGGCCTGACACTAATCCTCCTTGTCTCAAGGCTCTACCTGTTAGGCCTGCATCTCTGCCCTCTCTGCCCATGGCTTTCACTTCTGCTTCTGCTCCCATGTTTGGGCCCCTGTACCTGCAGTCCTAATGGGTGATCCTTTACATTCAAGGATAGCACATGTTTGTAGTTTTATCAGCCTGTTTGTTGCCTGTAAATTTTTAGTAGTCTGAAAATCTTCTCTTATCTTGTTCCATCTCTGTCCCTTTAAGGCCAACATAGAAGTATTTCTGCTGGTATAACATTCTCAAAAACTCGGTGGGCCTCTCATGTATAGCACATTGATTCAATACTGAGATAAGAGAGTCCTCAGAGATCTTTGCCAGATAACCCCATCTCGATTCCTGACTTCAATTGAGATGGTTGAGTAGATCCACGAGTCAATACCTAATCTTTCCAGCACCAGCCAAAGGTTGTTCAGCTACACCCTTACCTTTATCTCCAAAGCACACCTCCTAAAAGTGAGTCTCCTAATTTTAGCATATTTTACAACCTAAATAGGGTCAAAATGTTCTAAACCATCAAGTGCTGGTTCCTTTCTGTTTGATAGATCTTTCCTCAATTTCTTTCTTTCCTCTTATATTTTAATATAAGCTTAAAAAGAAACTAGGCCACACCTCCATTGCTTTGCTTGAAAATTTCAGTTAAATATCCCAGTTTGTCACTTACAAATTCTATTTTCCATGCAACTGTTGCAGACAATTCAGATAAGACTCGTGCTGCTATATAATAGGTGTCACATTTCTTCTAGTTTCTAATAAAATGTTCCTTAGTTCCTTCTGAGCCATTACTGGAAGCACCTTTAATTTATATTTTTACCAATAGTCTAAGTTAATCTATGCTTTTTCTATCAGATGCATCAGATTTTTTCCAGCTTCTGCCTATTATCCAATTCCAAAGCCACTTCCACATTTTTAGATATATAGCAGAACCTTACTTCCTGGTACCAAAATATGTATTAAGTTCCTGTGGCTGCTGTAACAGATTACTGCAAATGTGGCAGCTTAAATCAACAGCTATTTATTTATTATCTTACAGTTTAGGAGGCCAAAAGTCCTAAATTGAGGTGTCAGCAGGGCTGTACTGCCTCCGAAAGCTCTAGGAAAATATCTCTTCTTTCCCTCTTCCAGTTTCTTTTGACTCATCATTCTCTGGCTTGTGGCCAAATCACTCTCAGCTCTGTCTTCACATCACCTTTTCCTGTGGATGGAATCTACTTCTGCCTCTTTTATAAGGACACTTGTATTGGCATTTAGAGCCCACCCAGTTCATCCATGATAACCTCCTCATCTCAAGATCCTTAACTTCATTTATGAAGACCCTTTTTCTCAATCAGGTAACATCACTGGTTCTGGGAATTAGGACATGGACATATCTTTGGGGAGTCACCATTCAGCTCACTACACTAGCCATTGCACAGAAAAGTACTTTTCACTTTTAAAAAATGCATCTGTGGTGCTCAAGCCAAATTCACAGTTGTCTCTAAAAGATGTTGTCTGCACAGGCTACTGCATGCTTTGATGTTGAATGGCTGAATGAGCTATTCTAAAATGTGGTTGATACTTTTGCTACTATGGTCAATGTGCTTTAAAAAATAATTGATTCCAACTCTGAGCTCTAGTGTATCTCTTCCACCCCCTTTTTAGAGTCTTTGACCAAATGTCTTCTATGACTCATAACACAGGCATAAAACTACCTCCGATACAGAAGGGTTCTTTACAAATTTGTTTTAGATACCCCTCAGCTGAATGGAGAGGTGACAGCCTACTTTGAATGGTATTGAGGGAGACTATGCCGATACCAAGATGCCCAACAGTATTT